CACACACACACACACACGCACGCACGCACGCACGCACGCACGCACGCACGCACGCACGCACACACACACATACAAACACACACACACACACGCACGCATGCACGCACGCACGCACACACACTGAATCGTCGATCCCCCAGAACATAGGAACACATGGCAAGTGTGCGGGAAGACGAGAACCCAAATATATGGAACAATATGGAGAAGCCTGGGATTTGTGTGTGTATTTATTTGTGTGTCCCTGGGCCCCTTAGCGTCGGAGCAGATCGATGCGCCGGACGTCTGGGCACGCAGGTCGGTGTGCAGGTGCCGATCTGGCCGGGCCGGGGGCTGGCGCGTGCCCCCAGGAGGAGCCTGGCCTTTAAGTCAGGCGTGTCCCTCTACAGGAGAAATATTCAAGAATAGTCCAAAAATATCAGGGGACGATTTTTTGGAACATATGTTTGAACATTTTTACCTAACAGCGAAGACTGATAGGTTTCTAGTGGGGTCAAAAGAGCATCGTGATTCCCAGGGGGGTCTGGGCAGGATCCGGGAGCCGCGGAAAACCGGGGACTCCCCAGAACATTATCCCAGGCCACATTTTGACTGCCCGGAGCCAACAGAACACCATTCCCAGGCCACATTTTGAATGCCCGGAGCTAGCTGTAGGCCACTTCGTGGTCTTCGTGCTCCCAGACACCATTCCCAGGCCACATTTTGAATGCCCGGAGCCAACGGTAGGGCACTTCGTGTTCTTCGTGTTCCCAGAACACCATTTCCAGGCCACATTTTGAATGCCCGGAGCCAACTGTAGGCCACTTCGTGTTCTTCGTGTTCCCAGAACACCATTCCTGTATCATATTTTGCTTGCCCGGAGCCAACTGTAGGCCACTTCGTGATCTTCGTGTTCCCAGAACACTAGTCCTGTGCCATATTTTGAATGCCCGAGCTGAGGCAGGCTGAGGCCGAGACAGGCTGAGGCTGAGGCTGACGCACGCCGAGGCAGGCTGAGGCTGAGGCTGAGGCAGGCTGTGGCTGAGGCAGGCTGAGGCTGAGGCTGGCTGAGGCCGAGGCAGGCTGAAGTTGAGGCTGAGGCAGGCTGAGGCTGAGGGAGGCTGAGACTGAGGCTGAGGCAGGCTGAAGCTGATGCAGGCTGAGGCTGAGAGGCTGACGCTCAGGCCGAGGCAGGCTGAGGCTGAGGCTGAGACTGAGGCCGAGGCAGGCTGAGGCTGAGGCTGAGGCAAGCCGAGGCAGGCTGAGGCTGAGGCTTATGCTGAGGCAGGCTGAGGCTGAGGCTGAGGCAGGCTGAGGCTGAGGCTGACGCAGACTGAGGCCGAGGCAGGCTGAAGTTGAGGCTGAGGCAGGCTGAGGCTGAGGCTGTGGCTGAGGCTGAGGCAAGCTGCGGCTGAGGCAGGCTGAGGCTGAGGCTGATGCAGGCTGAGGCTGAGGCAGGCTGAGGCTCCGGCTGAGGCAGGCTGAGGCTGATGCTGAGGCCGAGGCAGGCTGAGGCTGAGGCCGAGGCAAGCCGATGCAGGCTGAGGCTGAGGCTGAGGCTGATGCTGAGGCAGGCTGAGGCTGAGACAGGCTGAGGCTGAGGCTGAGGCAGGCTGAGGCTGAGGCCGAGGCAGGCTCAGGCCGAGACAGGCTGAGGCTGAGACTGAGGCTGAGGCTGAGGATGAGGCCGAGGCAGGCCGAAGCTGAGACAAGGTGAGGCTGAATGGGGGGGGAGGGGGGGGGAGGGGAGGCTGAGGCAGGCTGAGGCCGAGGCAGGCTGAGGCCGAGGCAGGCTGAGGCTGAGGCTGAGGCAAGCCGAGGCAGGCTGAGGCTGAGGCTGAGGCTGAGGCTGAGGCAGGCTGAGGCTGAGGCAGGCTGAGGCTGAGGCTGAGGCAGGCTGAGGCCGAGGCAGGCTGAGGCTGAGGCTGAGGCAGGCTGAGGCTGAGGTCGAGGCAGGCTGAGGCTGAGGCTGAGGCAAGCCAAGGCAGGCTGAGGCTGAGGCTGAGGCTGAAACTGAGGCAGGCTGAGGCATTCGTAGAAATCCATAGGAATCCCTAGGAATCCTTAGGAATCCGTAGGCATCCTTAGAAATCCGTAGGCAGAGTTAAGCATCCTCAGGAATCCTTGGAATCCTTAGGATTCCTCAGGAATCCTTAGGAATCCCTAGGAATCCCTAGGAATCAGGATTCCTAAGGATTCCCGAGGTTTCCTCCGGATTCCTATGGATGCCTAAGGATGCCTTAGGAATCCCAAGGAATCCTTTGGATTCCATTGGATCCTAAGGCCGTTGCCACTGCGACTGTCATTGCGAATGCGACTGCGACTGCGAGAACAGCATAATTCTACAACTGGATTATCACCTGAATCTTAAGGGGAATGCTTCCAGAGATGCTTATACACATCGCTGTTAGGTTGCTTTGCCGGGATAATTTGATTTTTTGTCATTTTTGTACCTAGCAGCTTTTGCTGATAGGTTTCTAGTGGGATCAAAAGAGAGCATCTTGACGCCCCAGGGGGGTCTGGGCGGGATCTGGA